TGTGCCCTTTCTGATGCAGTTTTCTAGGTCTGTCTTCCGAGGTGCCTCTGTGTGGGTTCAAACTGCCAACTTTTCAGCTAAATAGCAGAGTGCTTACCCATTTGTGCCACCCGTGGACTCCAACTGCAAACATTACCAGTAGTAACAGATAACACCAGATAAATTTGTGAGTATTGTGCTGCTAACCATAGGGTCAGTGGTTCAAACCTATGCACCACTCCATAGGAGAGATAAGGCTATCAGCTCTCATTAAGATTTACAGCCTCAGAAATCCTATACAGAGTGGTATGGTACTGTATGATAAGCACTGACCTGGAGGTCGGTTTGAACCACATGGTCCACAGTTCGAACTCACCACCAGCTTGATAGCACTTAAAACCCACCAGAACATGAGTCAGGGTGTGCTTATTGTACCGAACACAGGCCAAGAAACAATTTCAAAGAAGAGGAAGGCAGGGGCAAGGAAATGCCACTTTAAGGGTATCTTTAGGGTCTGACAAAAGAAATTAACCTAGAGTCAAAGCCAAGTGCACTAATTTCAATAGTAAACTACCTCCATGGTAGAGAATAGCTGGGAGTCAGATATAGTATTCAAACCAGTGGATCAAGAAACCAAAATAACATTCCAATTTTGAGTTCAGAGTAGGATAACTTTTACAAACAGCCATCAAGTAAGAGGCCTTGGAGTACAGTTCAAATGGTTCTCTTAAATGTCTGCAGAAATAATTTATGGCCAAGATTATTCTCAGATTACATAACAGCCCAGAGGGCCTTGATAATTCTCCCTATAAGTTAATGGAAGTTGCATTTTTTTTTTTTTTTTTAAGATGGTGAGAGAAGGTAGAATCTCCACTGAGTGGTTTCCAACCTGTCAGGACGGGACTGGTGAAAGGAGATGGGGATAGGACTCTTATGGTCCAATAGTGAATAATTGCTATCAAGATGGACTGTGAATGTTGCAAATGTAAAGGTAGACATTTTGTAACAAAAAGAGGGGAGTGGCTGATCTTGCAGTCCAGGAGCGGAGGACCTTGGGACCATCAAGGGAGAAAAGCTGAGTGAGGGACCCTATCCAGAGAAGCAGCGATGCCAGAGATGGAGGCAGAGACAATGACCTGGAGAGACGGAGTGGCTGGGGAGTTTAGACTCTGGGAGGGGGTGGGGCTGTATGCTGGTGGCCAGGGGGATTGGTGTGCAGGGTATGCCCTTTGGTTGTCTGAATGGTTATATATTTCTCAGTGCTTCGTTGTACATCAAAAAACAGAGGGATTGGAAGCAAATGCTGTTGAATGATGACGCATGGAGGGAATTGTAGTCATTGCAATGAAACGAAATATGATAGGATGAATGTAAAGCTAAGGCTCACTCATGTAAACTATCACTCAAGTCACCATAACAATAATAATAAAAAGAACAAGAGGATACATATGGATTGTATCCTTTCACCATACTTATTCAGTTTGTATGCTGAGAAGCTACTACTCATCTGTAGTTTGTCATTCTATGGTGGTGTTTCTGTTGTAATGCTGGAAGCTGTGTGATTGGTATTTTAAATAGCAGGATCACCCATGGTGGAGAAGTGTCAATAGAATTTCCAGACAAAAACAAACTAGCAAGAAGTAGAGGCAGACCACTTCTGAGTGGTTAGCCACTGAAAACTCTATAAATAATAGTGAACACTATCTGCTGCACTGGAACTTTTTAAAGTATTGAAGAGCAGAGATGTCAGCTTGAGGACTAAGGTGCGCCTGACCCAGGCCATGGTATTTTCAATAACCTCATATGGATGCGAAAGCTGGACAGTGAATAAGGAAGATCGTGGAAAAATTGATGCCATCAAGTTGTGGTGTTGGAGGAGAATACTAAAAGTGCCGTGGCCTGCCAAAAGAAACAATAGATCTGTTTTGGAAGAAGTACAGCCAGAGTGCTCCTTGGAGGCCAAGATGGCTAAACTTTGTCTCTCATACTTCGGAAATATTGTCTGAAAGGAACAGTTTCTGGAGAAGGCTGTCATGCTGGGTAAGGTGGAGGGTCAGAGAAAAAGAGGAAGACCCCCAATGAGATGGATTAGCCAGGTGGCATCATTGATGGACTCAAGTGTGGCAGCAGTAGTGAGGTTGGCCCAGGATCAGACATTGTTTCGTTCTGCTGTGCATGGGGTCGCTATGAGTCGGTTCCGACTCGATGGCATCTGACAACAACAAATGATATGACAGAAGCTGAGTCCCTCAGATTGAAAGAAAGAAAAAAAAAGTGGTAAGAATGAGTTCACAAATGGTATGAATGATTCAATACCAAATGACTGAAATGTTTAATTAAAAGAAATTCAGATATCATTTCACACTAGAATAGTCTTTGTTATGGTTTATAGAAGAGATGAATAGTCTTTGTCTTTATAGGATTGAAATAATACACAAAATTTTCAAGGGACAGGGCTGTGGAATACAACATAATCAGATATTCAATGGCATTAGAGCTCAGAGGGAAAAAAGGACACACTTTTAAGATATTTGGGAAATGATGAGTTTGTTTTCTGGAGAGTTCAAGAAGAGTAATGAGGGAGAAGACTAGAGAAATAAGAAAGAATCATCAGATTAGAGTCGTATATCTCGAGATAAGAAAGAAGTTTAAACATTGATGGTAAATAAGGGGACTCTTGAAACTACCAGCTGTTCCGTGAGAGAAAGATGAGGTTTTCTGCTCCCATAAAGATTTATAGCCTCGGAAGCCCTGTACAGGGTCACTATGAGTCAGAACGGACTCCACGGCACATAACAACAACAAGGGGACTCTCAACAGATTTTATGAAAAGGCTTTGACAGTAAGATGGATACAGAACACAAAAAAGGGCAAAAATAACTAGAAACAGGATGGAATTTCAAACAGTTTGTATAAAAATTCCATTAACTTTTAATTCCATTTCTCAAGGACTTTTTAAAACCCTTTGTATATTAAATTTCAGTTTGGTCCTGCTGAAAAGGCTCCTCTTGTCTGAAATCCCCAAATCTCTTATATAGTGACTATATTTTTATAGACTTTATTTTGTCTACTAGACACAGCAGAGCTCACTGGTTAGAGCATCAATTCTAGGGCCAGGTTACTTAATTTCAAACCACAGTTTCACTAGATTCTTGGTAAGGAAACTGTGTCTCAGTTTCCCTATAGTTAAAAAGGAGATGACAATAGAACCTGCCTCAAAGTGTTGGCATGAGAATTAAATTAATTACTTTATACATATAAAGTGCTTAGAACAATGCCGGGCACAAAGTAAGTGGGAAATAATAAACTATTATCATTGTTAAGTTCTTAAAGGCAAGATCAGTGTCAGATTCATCTTTATGTCTCCAAATGTGTCCAACATAGCATATGTTGTTGCTAAGTGCTGTCAAGTCAGTTTCAACTCACAGTAGCCTGTATACTTTCTGAGGAGTATCTGGTGGGCTTAAACCACCAACCTTTCGGATAGCTTAGCCTACAATGCTTATTCTACAGTGCCACACTTGGTCATTGTTGAAACAATGAATGGATAACAAGCCACAGTAGCTAAACTGGGAATGTGGAAAACAAATTCACAGGATTTGGCAGGTAATTGAATAAAGGCAGTGAGGGCGGAGGAAGATGCAGATACCACTGATCTATCAAAACTGTATTATTAGAAGATTAAGGAATCAGAAAGTGAAACCACTTCTAAATAAAAGGGGGAATGGAATGTTGGCTTTGATATTTGAGGCTAAAATGTCAATGTGTCAGAACAGCTTTAGGAAGATTAGAATTTGAGAGAGAAGCAAGGAAATAGCCATAATTTTGGAAGTCTGCTACATGAAAGCAACAGTAAAAGATCCTAAGGATATGAGTTTGTAATTAAGATATATTATTAATTAAGACTACCGTCTCTCTGCTGAATTCAAATTAGTTAGGTGGTGGTGTGTTCATATTCATCTTCTCATCTAAATTAGCTTAATTGCTATAAATTATAGTTAAGTACTAAAATTACATGCAGTAAAATATCCATGTTTTAAAAGAGCATTAAGGAAATTCAATGATTTTATTGGGCTATCTCTGTAAGTAAATAGTAAAATATTAAAAACTACATTAAAAACTACTATTAAAATATAAAAGATGTACTAGAACTTACCCTGAATCACAGAAACAGTTCCATAGTCCTTGGCCATGACTCCATAGTAAGCGATTAAAAACTCGATTGAAAATCCGGTATAAATTTAATTCATCAACATCAGGTACCTTCCAAATGCGTGGAAGAACTGTACGAATACTTGTTCTTACAATATCCAAAACCTATTGGAAAAAGGCAAGTACTTCAATATTTAAGTATGTGTATGTGTGCATCTAAAATTCGAATTAAAATACGTAGAGTCCTATGTGGCACTGTGGGTTAATGCACTGGACTGCAAAGTCAGTTTGAACCATAAGGTCAGTGGTTCAAACTCACCAGTGACTCCTCGGAATCCATAGACAGGGTTGCTATGGGTTGGAATTGTCTCGATGGCACTTAACAACAATAACAATATATACATATATAGCACTGCAGTATGGAGTCCTGGTGTGGTGCTATGGGTTAATGCACCAGACTACAAAGTCATCTGAACTGCAAGGTCAGCAGTTCAAGCTCACCAGCTGCTCCTCGGAAATACTACACAGGGTCGCCATAGGTCCGAATCGACTCAATGGCACTTAACAACAACAGTATGATGAACTGAGCTACAAGGTTGATTTGAACCATAAGATTGACAGTTCAAACCCATCAGCCACATTTCGGAAACCCTATACAGTGTTGCTACTAGTTGGAACCAACTGGACAACATTTAACAACAAAAACAACAATATATGTATGTACAATAAGCACTGGACTGCTAACTATAAGAATGGTGACTCAAATCCACCAGCAACTCCTTGGAAACCCCATATAGGATCACTATATGATTCAGAATCAAGGCAACATTACGTATATATATATATTCATATACAGATAGACAGCAAAAGACTGGAAAATACTGGATTCAGGATAATGTTTACCTGGGACCATAAAGATGAAGGGAATTGTTTGGTTAGATATAGATTATTACCAAGATCCTACCTAGTTTTTGTCTTAGATGCCAAGTTTAAGTGTGTGAGTCTTAAAAGTACTAAATAAAGGAAAGTCATACATGGAGCAATAACGAGAGGATATCACAATTCATCCAACCTAAATAACTAAAATCTTGAGATCCTAAAAGATAAATTAAAACCCCCCAAAAGCTACTTGGTCTAACATACATGCACTTAACACTTCAGTAAAGAAAGGATTTCTAATCAAAAGCTTTTGTAATAAGTAAATAACAACAAATAACTGTTCTAATTTCAGTACACCAAAGTGTATTTTTTCATTTTCTTATAATTATTTAATTAATAGAACCTATAAGAGAACCTACATATACTACAACAAAATGTGCAAAGATCTGCAGTTAGAAATCCAAAAAAAGGAAGAACACGTTCAGCATTTCTCAAGCTGGGGGAGCTGAAGAAAAAAAATTAAGCCTCGACATTCATTTCTGAAGCATTGTCTGGGCAATTTATTGAATGATGTAGAAAGCATCACGAGAAGATGGAAGGAATACACAGAGTCATTGTACCAAATGAAAATGGTTAATGTTCAACCATTTCAAGAGGTAGCAATGATCAAGAGCCAATGATACTGAAGGAGGAAGTCCAAGGTGCATTGAAGGAATTGGCAAAGAACAAAGCACCAGGAACTGATGGAATAAAAATTGAAATCTTTCAAGAAAGTGAGGCAGCACAGGAGGCACTCACTCATCTCTGCCAAGAAATTTGGAAGACAACTATCTGGATGACTGATTGGAAGAAATCCATATTTGTGCCCATTCCAAAGAGAGGTAGCCCAACGGAATGTGAAAATCATCAGACAGTATTTTTGATACCCATGTGAATAAAGTTTCCTCTTTTGTCTGTTTGTCCAGCTCCACAATCCCCGTTCAGGCCTTTTTTCTAGTTGGAAACAGTTCAGGGCCGGCTGTGGCCATTTGGTTTTAATTGAAACTGTCTCTTTAATTTTGAGGAGATCTGTGCGCATGCATAGTAGAACCCTCCGAGGGTGGGGCTGGGGTGCCCACTAGCTCAGGCACCCCTATAGTCACCAGAATGGAGGTGCGCAGATAGCAAGGGTCCAATGAACAGATACCAAAAGAAAGGAATGTCCACACCTTTATCTCTGTGGTTCTGCTAGGCGTGTCTGTGGCCGCTCTGATCCTTCCCCTGCTTGGTTTCACCCAAGATGGCGGCTCCTGGAGCAGCCAAGCGTCCTGGACTAGAAAGCAATAGATTTATTGCTCCTGCCACAAATTCCCCCAGCTGTGAGCCTTCCAACCTTCTAAATATTCCTTTATATGTATTTTGGCTCCCATGGACTTGTTTTCATTTTCTTCAGCTTCATTTAAATTTGCTTATGAGTAATTGATGGTCTGTTCCACAATCTGCCCCTGGTCTTGTTTGCACTGATGATATGGAGCTTTTCCATCATCTCTTTCCACAGATGTAGTCAATTTGATTTCTATGTATTCCATCTGGTGAGGTCCATGTATATATGCATCTCTTATGCTGTCTAAAGAAGGTATTTGAGAGAGAACAAATAAGATGGCGGATCGGATGGACGTGCAGTAAAGGAGCTCCCCCAGCAACAACACAAAATACCCGACCAAGCAGGCTCAGGGGCTGGTCCCAGAACAAGTTTCAAGAGGGAGCTTAGTTTAAGAGGGTGGGGGGAAAGAAAGAGTCCCCACTGAATAGCTATCATCTTGTCTAGATGGGTCTGGAGAAAGGAGATGGGGATAAGATTCGTAAGATTCATTAGTGGATAACTGTTATCATGACTAATCGTGACTGTTACACTTGTAAAGGTAGAAGTTTTGTAACAACAAAAGGGGAGTGGTTAATCTTACAGTCCAGAAACAAAGGACCCTAGGATCATCAAGAGAGAAGCGCACAAACAGAGTGCAGGACCTTATCCAGAGAAGCAGCAGCACCAGAGATGGAGGCAGAGATGGGGGCATAGAGAGGGAGAGTGGCTGAGGACTCTAGCTTCATCAACTAAGAAGAGAAAGACTAAGAACTGGTAGCCAAGAGCAGACTTGCAGAATGTGCCCTTTGGAGATGTAAATTATTATATATGCCTGAGTGGGTTTTTTTGTTTGTGTGTTTTTTGAAAAGCTAAAGTGGATAGAGAGAAATACTTTTAACTGATGGTATATGGAGGGGATTATAATCAATTTAATGAAATAAATTATATGAATGGTTGAATGTGAAACTGATGTTGTGCCCTGTAAACTTTCACTCAATCCACAATAAAAACCTTAAATTAAAAAAATAAAGAAAGAAAATAAATAAGGTATTTGAATTGAACAAATCATTGGTTTTGCAGAATTTTATCATGTGTTCTCCAGCACATTTCTATCACCAAGGCCATATTTTCCAACCACTGATCCTTCCTCTTTGCTCTCAATCTTTGCATTCCAATCACCAATAATGATCAATACATCTTGATTAAATGTTTGATCAATTTCAGATTGAAGAAGTTGGTAGAATTCTTCTATTTCATCCTCACTGGCTTTAGTGGTTGTGCATACATTTGAATAATAGTCGTATTAACTGGGCTTCCCTATAGGCTCATGGATATTATCCTATCACAGACAGTGTTGTATCTCATGACTGATCTGGATATGTTCTTTTTGACGATGAATGCAACACCATTCCTCTTCAAATTGTCATTCCCAGCATAGTAAACCATGTGGTTGTCAGATTCAAAATGGCCAATACCAGTCCATTTCAGCTCACTAGTGCCTAAGACATTGATGTTTATGCATTCCATCTCATTTTTGACAACTTCCAATTTTCCCAAATTCATACTTCGTATATTCCATGTACATTCCATGAAATTTTCAGTGAATGTTTATAGCATTTTTATTAACAGGCACAAAATACATAAAAAATTAGAAGTTGATGAAGCAAGAATAATTTTTTTCTCTTTACAACATCAGCAATATTTTTCGTTGTTGTTTAGTGCCATCAAGTCGATTCTGACTCATAGCGACCTTGCACAGAGTTTTCAAGGAGTGACTGGTGCGTGTGATCTGCCAACCATTGGTTTGCAATCCAGTGCTCACCCTACCACTCCATACCAGTGTTATTAGTTCTCTGCAATCAAGATAATTCCACAATAAACAATTGGGTAAAAATCAATTTTGTAAAAACAAATTCAAACTAACATTTTATCTATACAAGAATATCAACTAGAAAGTTCCATCTATCTGGAACATCAACATGTTCCAGTTCCCCTCACCATGACAATGCAAACCCTACAGTGATCGGGGCTGTGTCAGATTCAGTGCAAGGGAATGAAGAAGGATAATGCAGTCTGTAATAAAGTAGCTTCTGAAAAACTCATTATTAAAGAAAAGGAATGCTTAGTTATGAAGAAAAATTTAAATTTTTTCACATGAATTATTCACCATAATGCTGATAGAAAAAGTGTGTATCCGATATTAATTTATATTTATTTTTCCTAATTTTCACTTAAGGTATTATTTTAGCTCTATACTTTTTATTTCTTATTGTGAACAAAATAAAGTTTTACAGAACAGATAAGTTTGACATTCAATACATCATACACTTCTTTTCAATGATTGAAATACCTTCCAGGTAATATCAGTTATTCCAATTCCTCCCTAAGATTCTTGTTTACATTCCACCCTCCTTCCTAACCTTTCAGAACACTGTCCTGAAGGGTAAATGCTACCCTTTTAATCTTGAATGGTTGACCATTCCATGGTGAGCCACCTTTACTAGTGGTGTTGTGCCCAATATACACCTATCAACTGCTTGATTATAGAATGAGCCACAAGGCTAAGTTCAATTCCACCTGAAGAGTGACTGAAGGCCATAGGCTCAGGTTCCTCCAGTATCTTTCTGACCAGTAAGCCTGGTCTTTTTCATAATTTTGAGTATTGCCCTATATTTTCTCCTACTCTATCCAGGACCTTCTAATGTGATCCTTTTCGGAAGAGGGGGTAGTGGTAGCCAGGCATCATCTAGTTCTTCTGGTCTCAGGGTATGGGGGCTGATGTTCACACATTCCATTAGTTCCTTGGACTAACTGATTCCAAGCATCTTCAGTTTTCACTAAGAAATAGAAAGAAGCTCTTAATGTAGAGCTCAGTACGAGGACTGATATAAGACTCAACACTAGCAGTAAACGATAAATTTAAATCATTTCTATTCAACTTAAT